GATCTACAGAGCGTATGCGAGGTTTTCTCTTGAAATGTTTTGGTTTTCAATATGTAAACAGCCTGAAATCTAACTGCCTTTAAAGTAAGAAAATGTGTTTTAAAAAAGATTTGAAATAAAAATATTGATGCTTGTCATTATTTTTAAATTGAAATTATTTATTGAGGCAGGCCGTGGTGGCTCATGCTTGTAATCTCAGTATTTTGGGAGGGAAAGGTGGGTGGATCATTTGAGGTCAGGAGTTTGAGACCTGCCTGGCCAACATGGTGAAACCCTGTCTCTATTAAAAATACAAAAAATTTAGCCAGGTGCGGTAGGTAATTAACATATATTTGTTCAGTGTGTGAATTAGTGATTGTTAAAATATGCTGTCCTTTATATCCCAAAAGTACTAATATATTTTATTTCTATCTCCTCCTCAAGACAGATTCAACTAGCCTATCAAAATTCTTGGCTGCAGTTCCTTCTCATGAAAGAGCAAGGGAACTTAAAAAATATCACGGTGAACAACTTACAGCAAAAATGAAACAAATGAAAAATAAATTTTGTGTACTACAAAAGGAACTATCAGAAGCGAAATAAATAAAATTGCAGTAAGTGAACCAAAAGGTTAAATGGAAACAAGAGCTCTGCAATGTGAGGTATGACACCCTAGTTTAAAATAAATATTTCAACTATTTATACTAAAATTATGTAGGATACTTTTTGTAATAGCTGACTTACCTTCTGAGGTTTAACTGCAGAAAAAATCTCTGTCTTGTAGAGTGACAAATTCTTTTAAATAATACAAGTTCTTAACATTGAATACTTCTGATAATTAAATGCATATTTATTTAAATCACAATTTTACCGGTTATATAGAAGGCCATTATTTGGAAATCCCATTATTTAGTTAACAAATTAATTTTTTTGATTTTTAATTTTTTGTATTATAAGTGCTGCAAGGCATAACTGCAGGTAAATATTTTTCTACCTTTCTAATTATTGACTTGGAATAAATTCTTCAATATAAAATATTTGGTTAAATTACAGGAAGTTTTAAAGAGTTCTTTGTTCATTACTTCTAAATTGTTCTCAAGAAAATTTATATTCATTTACAGTTCAACAAAGAGATTATGAAATGGCCATTCCTCTCTCCTCAAGAATCAATTTCCTTTAATTATACACTTTTAACCTTAATGTGCATGGAACACAAAGAAAAAACTTGTTTATATTTTTAATCTTTTCCTTTCAGAATTGCGATAACTAAAAGTGCTTATTACAATGTCTCAACTTATCAAACATTTATAAATATTATTCTTAAAATTAACTATTTTTAAAAATAGAATATCTATAGAATATTCTCAGGAAAAGGGAAATGAAAGGGCTTTGGGAAATTGTATCTGTCTAAATATATGCAGCACTAATATTGCGGGAACTGGCCAGCAGCCCACAATGCAATGGGGCTCTTTCTTTGTTCCCAAGCAGATCGGCAGGCCGAGAAATAAAAGACACACACAAGATGGTGAAAGCTGGGTCCAGGGGGGTCACCACTTTCTGGTCCCGTGGTGCCACCAATGCACTGGATATACCAGCATTTATTATTAAGTTTAGTGAGGGCGGGGGTAGGTTAGTGAGGGATTTAGGGTCATTTGATTATGAGGTGAGACGGTCACATGGGGATGAAGTAATTCTTTAACATAACATCAGTATGCAGAAGTACAGTATACAGAGATAAGAATTTACAATATAGTGTGTGCATCAGCAATTTCTAACAGAGCCTTAAAACAGAAACACAGTCTTTCCATAACCTAGGATTAGCAAGATCAGCAGTAACAGTTGCAGCAAAAGCTGGTTGCAAACAATCCATAGAAATAGGACGTGAAGCCAGACAACTGGTTAGACCACAAATTCTCAGAAAGGAGTATGCCTTAACCCTAAACAGACCTAGAAGAGCCATGGCAAGATAAGGGCATTTATAGCCCTAACTTACCCATATGAACAGGTGCCCCTCATGCATCCGTTTATAGGCTCTCCACAAGAGTCACATTCCATTCCCAGAGCTATGAACATCTGCTCTTCTGGGATAGGAATCTCAGTGATGTGAAATCTCCCTGCCTGTGCATCCATTCATACGCTTTTTGCAGGGGGGAGCACATCATGTGCTGTTGGCTCATTCTGGCAGCCCAACCTGGCATTGTCTTTACACAATTCGACATGCAATTTTGTATTTACAATAACCAGGAGTATTTCATCTTTTGTTCCATAGCAATAGTTTCAGGGGGTCTCCCTACACACTAAGGCTCCTAGTATGGGAGCCTCTTGTACAGATTAGACATCAGGGTGTAAATCAAATTTTTGTATGTAGTCAAAGTGATTAATCTTTTATTTTATGCTTTTGAGTGTCTTGTAATCCAGGGAAAGTTCGTTTCAATTTTGAAGCTCTTAAAAATTCTCTAGTCATTTCTTTTTTACTTTCATGAATTCATTGTCTTCAAATAAATGTTTGAACTTTGGGGAATTTATGCTCTATAGCATTTGAAGTTTTGATTCAATGGTTCTTCAACTGATACCTACTTACGGAAACCCTTTCAGTGTATAAATGTACAAATTATTCTTTAAGAGGAACCATGATATGCCATTTTATTGAGTGCTAGCTAAAAATTTATTTTGTTTTATTTAGGTTTCTCATGCTTGTGAAAATCAAAATGATCTCTTACATGAAAATGGTATGTTGAAAAAGGAAATTGCCATGCTAAAACTGCAAATGGACATACTAAAACATCAGCACCAGGAGAAGGAAAATAAATACTTTGAGGACATTAAGATTTTAAGGGAAAAGAATGCTGAACTTCACATGACCCTAAAACTGAAAGAGGAAACATTAACAAAAAGGGCATCTCATATAGTGGGCAGCTTAAAGTTCTGATGACTGAGAACACAATGCTCACTTCTAAATTGAAGGAAAAACAAGACAAAGAAATATTGGAGAGAGAAACTGAATCACACCATTCTAGACTGGCTTCTGCTATACAAGATCAAGATCAAAGTGTGACATCAAGAAAAAACCAAGAACTTACTTTCCACAGTGCTCATTTGCAAGGAAAAATGAATGTTGATGTGAATAATATAATATATAATAATGAGAGCTTCATCAACCACTTTCTGAAGCTCAAAGGGAATCCAAAAGCCTAAAAATTAATCTCAATTATGCAGGAGATGCTCTAAGAGAAAATACATAGGTTTTAGAACATGCACAAGGAGACCTAAGTGAAACACAGTGTCAAATGAAGAAAGCTGAACACATGTATCAAAACAAATGAGATAATGTGAACAAATACACTGAACAGCAGGAGTCTGGAGCAGAAAGTATTTCAACTACAAAGCAAAAATATGTGGCTTCCACAGCAATTCGTTCAGGTGCATAAGAAAGCTGATAACAAAAGCAAGTAACAATATTCATTGTTTTGAAAGGAAAAAGCAACATCACCTCCTAAAAGAGAAAAATGAGGAGACATTTAATGACTGTAACCATTTAAAAGAATATATATACCAATATGAAAAACAGAAAGCTGAAAGAGAAGTACCAAAAATATATATATATATTTCAACTTTCCTGAAAGAAAATGTGAAGTCATATTTGGCCTTAGATAAATGCTGAATCTAGTTGAATATAGATGATAAATGTATTTGCTATGTCAGCTTAGAAACATGGCTTATTTCCACCAAATGCAAGTTAAAGCTAAGAGATATTTTACTTTGAGACATTGTGTCACTCATGAAATTTTAAGAATTTAAGTTAAAGGTTTTTAATAGATTAACATTCTTTGTGGCCACATTTTATGACCACCATGAAGCAGATAAATGGGAATGCCCATATCAGCAGAGTATTTTGAAATTAAGATTCAATTCAACAATTTACTTTGACAGTTAATTCTAAATTTTCCAGAGGAACTGAAGTGTATTTGAAGTACATTTTGAAGTGTACATTTCTGTATCTTGTAATACTACTTTTTAAAGTAGGTTTTTATATATTTCAGTTGGTAGAATTTTATTTTATGTCAATTTGACTTAAATCTGAACATATTTGAATCTCATATGTATTGTTATAACAACTTAATTTTTTAAAGGCATCTGCATTTTATTAAATAGCAGCTTAGGACAAATGTAGTGAATTTTAACAATATCAAATTTGACTTAATCATCCCACTGGTATTTATAATTTACTTTGAATATTGTTACAAATAATTTGCTCATAATTTCTATTTCAAGGCTCAGCTCAAAGACTGTCATGTGGGTAGAACTTTGTCCCAGAGAAAGATCACTGTAGCCATCTGTGATTTATTAGCTTTGCATTGGATCCCCATTTTTCAATTCATGGGGAGTGACAGGGTTCATGTATAGTACAAAAGAAGTGAGTAGAGGAGAGAAACATAGCAGCTGAGGTCAGAAGGGATGTGGAGACCAGGTTTACCTAGGGCCTCTAAAGCCTTTGAAACAAAAATACTTTTATTCTGAGATAGAAACCTGTTGGAAAAATTTCAGCAGGTGATTGAATATGTGAGGAACTTTGATGTTGATTTGTACTTCAACAAAAAAGAAGGAAAGCATTCCACGGCATAGAATTTACCACCGCTAGTCCTGCCCACATATTTTCTTGAGACTTCAGTAGGTTGTGAAGCATTACAGATTCATTAGGGGACAAATGACTAGGGGGACGAATCTGGTGTCTAGTAAAAGAGTACCAGTTTGGCAAGAAGATAATACCTTCTTGTGTCCTTAAGTGGATTCAGTAATAAGCAGGAATGTGTACACATAAAGAAAATAAGCTGAACCAATATATTTGGGGATATTTTCGAAAGTAAATATTGTTAATTTGATAAGATGATTTACAAAATCAATAACAAACATGTCAGATCACTGTGAGACAACTTCAAAAAAACTGGCTGATCTCAATAAACAATGTGTGTCTGAGGCTTCACTAGAGGCTACATCACATTACCACATTAATCTCAAAGTTGAGATATAGGATTTAATGAAGAAATGATTTCGAATCGAAAGTGAAGTATGTATTAAAGGTAACATGCCAACAGTGAATCTACAGCTGGTGAAATAATACAAATTGTTTTATGATACTAATTTCCATGGGAAGACTTCTTTTATATGTTCATTATAATTAGTTTTATTACAATTTTATTATCTTTATAATGTGCTTATTTTTAAAATTGTAGCTATCATTCTGCAATGTTTTTCTTATAATTAAATGTTTTTTCTCATAATATCTACCCTCAAGAAGGTTAAGAATTATACATCATTTATCCCACAAGCTGAGAGACTATTCTTCGGATAAACAGTGTTTTTCAGTAATTTATGTTGCCATAGTGAGGCACACGGTATTTAATCAGAGAAGAATGTTTAATGGAATATTCCAGAAAATTATCTGTCTGAAAGGCTGCCTTAAATGCTTCCTAAAATGCTTGCTGAAGAGTCCGGCAAGATGAATATGACTTGGAGGCTGGGTGGCAGGCCAGTTTTTTGGAGGCCGGCCTAGAGCCTGGCTGCATGGGAGGCTGGTCCAGTGACCAGTCTTTTGGCAGGGGGAGAGGCTTGCGGGAACGCTGATCAGAATGCTGCCTGCATGGGAGGCTGGTCTTCAGGCCGGCTGGCTAGGAGACCGACACAGAGGCTTGCTGGGAAACTTGCCAAGAACCCGGGTGAGAGGCGGCCAACTAGGAGGCTGGTGGAGAGTCCGTGTGAGAGGCTGTCTATCTGAGAGGCTGCCTCAAATTCTTGCTAATTTTGCTTGCTGAGGGCCTGGTAGACTGAGTCCGGCTAAGAGCCTGGTTGTGCCAGGTTCTCTTGTTAGGAGACTGGCTACAAGATCCCGTGAAAGCTTCACGACTCTACTCAACAAATTTCTCCAGAAAGAGGCCGGAGTGTCCAAGGGCTTCTCCAGACCGCACTTTTTACTGGTGTTGGGCCGGATGTGGTGGCGATTAAGGGCAAGGGCAAGCGGCAGGGGCTGGGGCTCGGGAAGGGCGAGTGGGAGGTGCGGCCTCTCTCTTAAAAGGTGGCTGCAGCCATGCAGAGGCTCTCTGCCACTGCTGTCAAGGGCGTGAGGAGCCTGGAGCGCCCACTCAGCTAGTCTAGACCAAAGGCTCTTAAGTCATCCACTATGGGGACATCAGAAAGATGCACAGAGCTGCCTCTCAGGGCCACACCTGGAAGCTTGCAGGGGATGATGATGAAGATGACAACCATCTACCTGAACATAAGAGATGCGAAGAAGAGGTGCCATGCCCTGCCTGAGCTGGGGCTGCAGGAGGAGGTGATCCTCCTGTGGGAGGATCGCCCCTTCAGCCTGGGGTCTCAGGGGAGCCCGGGGAGGAAGGGAGCAGGTGGAAGAGTGGGTCCGCGGCCAAGCGGAAATCTTGGGCCCCAGTGTCTGGGACTTCTTCCTGGGCAAGCCCCCCAGGCCTAAGACGGGGGCGCCCTGCAGGGCGGAGGGACCAGGTCACCTTAAAATCAACCCCAAATTTTGGCTGCTTTCTCCTTCACTCCCACTGAGGTGGTTGGAAACGCTGGCTGCAAGGGAGGCTGGATTTGAGGCTGGCTAGTCAGGAGGCCACCTAAGAGGCTCTCTGAGAGGCTTACTGGGAGGCTGGCCACGACACTGGTGGCATAAGAGGCTGGTTCTGAAGCTAGTTCGCTAACAGACTTACTGAGAGGCTGGCTGGAAGGCTGGTCAAGGAGCGGGTTGCATGGGAGGCTGGTCTAGTGAAGGACTCTTGGAAAGTGGCCTAGAGGCTTGCTGAGAGGCTGGCTGGCTGGCAGGCTGGCGGAGAGCCTGTGGGAGAGGCTTTCTGTCTGAGAAGCTGCCATAAACGCTTGCTAAAAGGCGTGCTGAGATCCTGGCAGGCTGAATCTGACTAAGAGTCTGAATGCAAGGCTGGTTTGTTAGGAGGCCAGCCTAGAGACTGGCTGCACCAGAGGCTAACCAAGAGGCTGGCGGCAGAGTGGCAGATTGGCTGTGCAAGAGGCTTGCTGGATGGCTGTTAAATACGCTGGCTGCATAGGAGGTTAGTCTGGAAGCTGACTGTCTGGGAGATTCGCTTAGAGGCTTTCTGAAAGTTTGGATCAGAGACTGGTTGTCTGGGAGGCTGGCTGAGAGCCTGTGGGAGAGGCTGTGTGAGAGGCCGCCTTAAGTGATTCTTAAAACGCTTGCTGAAGAGTCCGGCAAGATGGATGTGACTTGGAGGCTGGGTGGCAGGCCGGTTTTTTGGAGGCCGGCCTAGAGCCTGGCTGCATGGGAGGCTGGTCGAATCACGAGCCTTCTGGCAGGGGGAGAGGCTTACAGAAATGCTGATCCGAATGCTGGCCGCATGGGAGGCCGGTCTTCAGGCTGGCTGGCTAGGAGGCCCACACAGAGGCTTGCTGGGAGGCTTGCCAAGAATTAGTTCAAGCATTGAGGAAGGCAGTGTGTTGACTCCTCAAAGATCTAGAAGCAAAAATACCGTTGACCCAGAAATCCCGTTGCTAGGTATACACCCAAAAGAATATAAATCTGTGGGGAAAAGGAAGAGAGATCAGCCTGTTACTGTGTCTATATAGAAAGAAGTAGACATAAGAGACTCCATTTTGTTCTGTATTTGTGATGCTGTTAATCTGTGACCCTACCCCCAACCTTGTCCTTTGCAAGAGACATGTGTTGCGGTGGCTCAAGGTTTAATGGATTTTGGGCTGTGCAGGATGTGTCTTTGTTAAACAAATGCCTGAAGGTAGCTTGCTGGTTAAAAGTTATCACCATTCTCTTAATTTCAACTACCCAGAGACACGTACACGGCCAAAGGTCGCAGGGACCTCTGCCTAGGAAAGCTAGGTATTGTCTAAGGTTTCTCCCCATGTGATAGACTGAAACTATGCTGCTAAAAGGTTTATGGAGATGTTTGCATATGCATCTCAAGGCACAGCATTTTCCTTTGAACTTATTCATGTCACAGAGGTTTTTGTTCATATGTCTTACTGCCGATTTCCTCTTTTTTCTTTGATCCTATTGTCCTGCCACTCCCCTGTCTTTAAGATGGTAAAGATAATTATCAATAAATACTAAGGGAACTCAGAGACCGGGGCTGGCGTGGGTCCTCTGTAAGCTGAGCGCTGGTCCCCTGGGCCCCGCTTTTCTTTCTCTATACTTTGTCTCTGTGTCTTATTTCTTTTCTCAAGTCTCTCGTTCCACCTTATGAGAAACACCCACAGGTGTGGAGGGGCAGGCCACCCCTTCATAAATCATTATATTATAAAGAGACGTGCACATGTATGTTCACTGCAGCACTATTCACAACAGTAAAGACATGAAATCTACCAAAATGCCCATCAATGTTAGACTGGATAAAGAAAATGTGGTACATGTGCACCATGAACTATCATGCAGGCCTAAAAAGAAACAAGATCATGTCCTCTGCCGAGATATGGATGGAGCTGGAAGCCATTATCCTCAGAAAACTAATGCAGGAACAGAAAATCAAACAACACGTATTCTCACTTACAAGTGGGAGCTGAATGATGAGAACACACAGATCCATGAGGGGTAACAACACACAATGGGACTTCTTGTGGGGGCAGGAGGAGGGAGAGCATCAGGAAGAATAGCTAATCGATACTGGGCTTAATATCTGAGTGATGGGTTGATCTGTGCAGCAAACCACTATGGCACCCATTTACCTACGTAATAAACCTGCACATCCTGTACATGGACCCCAGAACTTAAAAGCTGAAGAAAAAATAAAGAAACTTTAGTGCTGTCCAGGGATGCACACTGAACACAAAAAAATGGAGTGATGCTTGTGATTTGCTTTATAATATTCCTGTAAAGATAGATAAATGGATAGATGGACAAAATGTGGGACAATCTTGATCACAGAAATTGAATAATGGGTATTTTATTGTTACTTTTACTATTTTCTCTACTTTTGAATAGGTATACAAATTGTAATTAAAAGATAAAAAATAAATATACTAATCCCTGCTTTGAAACCAAATACAAACAGTACTCTGAAAAGATTCAAGCAATTTACATGGTACTATATGGATCTCCCTTGCACCTCTGTATGTAACATTTAAATATTTTGCAACTGGCCAGGCACGATGGCTCACGCCTATAATCTCAGCACTCTGGAAGGTGGAGACAGGTGGATCACCTGAGGTCAGGGGTTCAAGACCAGCCTAGTTAACATGGTGAAACCCTGCAGGAGATTTGCTTGAGCCTGGGAGGAGGAGTCTGCAGTGAGCCGAGATGGAGCCACTGCACTCCAGCCAGGGTGACAAGAGCAAGACTCTATCTCAAAAAACATAAATATAAATATAATATAAATATAAATAAAAGATCTTTCTTAAATTCCTACTTCATGTTATTAGCACCAAATCTGAAGGGCTCCATTACAGAAACTCTTTGAGATAAGAAACAAATGTATTTTTGAGAAACCACACAAAATGTAGTAATTATCATAGCTGTTAAAAGAAATGTGCTCATAAATAAATAACAGTAAAGGAATAGAGGCTTTCAGTCACATCAGGAAGTGATATTAATTATGATTCCTCTGTTAATTCTGAAAGAAAATATATAAACCTACTTCTAACAAACTTTACATTAAAAAAAAAACTCTTGGAGTTGAGAATGAAAAGCAAAAGTTCTAGAAAAAAGTGAGGCCAACTGTGGAACATGCTCATCACATATCATTAAAGATATCCCAATCAACCCCCTGTCTCCCCATCCCTCTTATTCTACTTACTTATTTCCCAGACCACTAACACACTTGTTATATATTACGTATCTCCTACTTACTATGCATGTTCTCCTACAAGATTGAATGCTCCAGAATACATGGGGCAGCGCAGTGCCTTCTGCACTGCCCAGTTCCTGGCACCTGACTCACAGGTGCCAATGGCTGCAGGATTATGACGCTGGAAGTAGTGAATATTTCCTCAATACTTGCAATGGTTCGTAACAATGAAAGATCTAAGATTGCCTCTCCCCCTTTCAGGAACCTTAAAGGAAGCAGCAAATACTGCTGGCTTCTCACAAGTGGTCATGTTCCGAGATCCACCTAATGCCATGAGCAGTACAAAGAGAGCTAACTTTTACTGTTTACAAGTAAATGATTAATAAACTGTTGTTTATTAATAAGCTATTGTTTTAGCTATAATAGAAAGCCAAAATATTTTCCAATGGCAAAATAACTCCTCGACAGTGTCCTCCTTCTATGAGAAAGAAGTAAGCTTGCTTGGTGGCAAGGGCCAATGATTCTATTAGGTTTAGCTGATTCTTTATCTTTTTTTTGTTAGAGACAGGGTCTTACTCAGTTGCCCAGGCTGGAGTGCAGTAGCCTCAAACTCCTGGGCTCAGGTAATCCTCCCATCTCAGCCTTCAGAGCAGCTGGGACCACAAGTATATGCCACAACACTTGGCTAATTGTTAATGCTTTTGCAGAGATGGGGTCTCTGTTGCCTAGGCTGGTCTCAAACTCCTGGCCTAAAGCCATCCTCCTTCCTCAGCCTCTCAAAGTGCTGGGATTCCAGGCTTGAGTCACTATGTCCAGCCAAGTTCAGCAGATTATTTTTTACCATGCTCAATTAAAAAAAAAAAAAAAACACCAAACCAGAGGGCAGAGGTGAGGCCTCTCATGTAGATCCTTCTCAGATGTCATCTCCTCATGAATCCTAGTGACATCACAGTGGTATCTCTAATGATAGACAATGTTCACCACCTGACCTATTTTATTGCATGACTTAAAAATATAATGACTTGAAAAGTGGGAGAGACTCTTTATTGGTTACTGGCTGATTTATAGTCAGGTACTAGGGGAGATCAAATATCACAAAAAGTAATCATGAGGAGAAACTTAAAATTTTCAATTTTTTCAATATATGAATTTTTAGAGACTTAAAGTAGTATAAATAGTTAAAAAGTAAGTACATGAATCCTGCAAATAACATACAAACAGTGATCTACGTTTGTCTTTGCCAACTGAGTTGCACCTAAAAGCTGGTCTTTGAAGACTCAGTGAGTGCTATGCACCCCACTTCAAATCCATAGGGAGGGCAGGGCTCCTCACCCAGGAGACTTGACTTCTGTGTACTGAAACTCAAAGGGTCTGTTTCAGGAGAAGATGAAAGCCCCAGGGTCATGGGAACGTGCATCCCCACTGCAGCTTGTGGCACTTCCAGGTGTGGTGCCTGCAGTCCTTCCTGTGCCCCTAAGTGTCACAATGCATGCTACATGACCAACAGCCTCAGGCGTTTCCGCTGGCTTAGAGAATGCTTTAATGCTACAGATTCATTCTATGAATGTTTGTTGAGCACCTGCTTGAGAAGTAAACAAGATAGGCACGATCTGGGCTGTCAGCGCTACCGTGCTGCAGCAGGAGGAAAAATGTCAGTTAGCACCGCTTCGTGGAAAATAAAAGGATGATGAGTCAGCGAGCCTCAAAGCTGAGGTGTGATGGTGCTCAGTGAGACCTCTCCAATATGGTCATGTTTAAACTGTGACACAAATAGAAAGGAGAGCACAGAAAACTCTAAAGAAAGAGCATTCCATAAACACCACCCCTCAGCATGGCAGTGCTAGGAGGCTGCAACCTGAGAGGAAGAAATGTACACAGACCACCACGTTGGCTGGCACAGAGCAAGCAATCACAGAGGGGATGATGGGATGGCAGAGGAACAGCAGGGCACAGCCCACCCACGCCCCTGCAGGCCTGATCGGGGCTGTGAGGTTATTCCAGGTACAGTGGGAAGCCACTACAGATGACACACCAGAGAATGACAGACCTCCTACTTCCAATGAAACTGACCTGGCTGCTCTGTGGCATGGCTTTGACTGAGGGCTGGAAGGCAGTGAAGGAAGATGGGGGATTTGTATTCAGGGCGGAATCAGCAGGCCTTGCTAGGCTGGATGTGGGAAGGGAGGAAAGTAACATCTCAAGGTAACTCCTGGGTGTCTGGCCAGGTAGACTCGAAGACAAGTGCATTGGAGGAAAATGGGGACTCTTCCTAGAACAGGTCAGGCCCCAGAAGGGGTCAAACAAGTGGATGAATACAAAGGTCCAGTGTGAAGAGAATTTTAAGGGCCAAGAATGAGAGTCATGAAGATACGGACAATATATTTTTTTAAGATGCGGGCAAGTGGGATTATTTTATTTTATTTCTTGAGATAGCATCTTTGTCTGTCACCTATGCTGGAGTGCAGTAGTGTGATAAGTACTCACTGCAGCCTCAACCTTCTGAGCTCAAGCAATCTTCCCACCAAGTTTTTATTTTGTTTAACAAACGTGGTCTTGACCTGGCGTGGTGACTTGTGCCTCTAATCCCAGCGTTTGGGGAGGCTTTGAAGGGTGGATTGCTCAAGGCTGGGAGTTGGAGATCAGCCTGGGCAGCATAGTAAGACCCTGTCTCTACCAAAAAAAAGGAAGAGGATGAAGTCATGGAAGACAATTTTTCCACAGACTATGGATGGGGAGGATAAATTCAGTATGTTTCGAGTGCATTACATTTATTGTGCACTTTATTTCTACTATTATTACTTTCTAATATATAATGAAATAATTATACAACTTTCCATAATGAAAAATCAGTGGGAAGCCCGAGCTTGTTCTCCTGCAACTATACAGCCTCAACTGAGGATAATGGGAGACAGTGACAGATATCAGACAATAGATTCTCATAAGGACAACACAACCTAGTTTCCTGGCATGAGTAGTTCACAATAGGGTTCACATTCTTATGAGAATCTAATGGTGCCTCTGATCTGACAGGAGGCAGAGTTCAGATGATAATGCCAGCGATGGGGAGGGGCTGTAAATATACATGAAGCTTCAGTCACCGGCCACTGCTCACCTCCTGCTTTGTGTTCCACGAGCTGGGGAATCCCTGCTCAAGTACATTTGAAAGGATCCATCCCCTGCCAGTCTTTATAGTCATCTTTACTGCCATAGTGGTGAAGTATAGCTGCCACTTAGCTCCCAAGGCATGTGCCTCAGCGCGCATTTCATCACAATCAACAAGCGGGAGCCTGGTTCATTGTGAGGTCACTTCCTGTAAATTACCAGCATTCCATTTCCCATTGGCAAGAAGCTAAGCGCTGCTACTTGAATAACCAAACCTATGCCCAAATCCCATCTTTGTGGGGCTATCTCCTGGTACCCTTCCTAGCATCAATTTTCTACTTGTCAGAGTCCAATCAGGAGACATAAATCACTCAAACATATAAACTGGTAACATTTAGTATAAGTAAGTATTATAACACAGGAACAGCAATAATGAGGGATTGGCCAGCACAAGGTATAGACAAAAGTACCACAACATAACCTGTTTCACTTTATGGAAAGCACTGACATTTATAAAATACTCATGGTAAATTTATAAACTAATAGCTAATTATTTTTACTCAGAATAGTACTAAATTAAGAATATAGGCTGGGCATGGTGGCTCACGCCTGTAATCCCAGCAGTTTGGGAGGCCAAGGTTGGTGGATCACTTGAGGTCGGTTGTTCAAGACCAGCCTGACCAACATGGTGAAACTCCGTCTCTACTAAAAAATACAAAAATTAGCCAGGCATGGTGGTGGGTGCCTGTAATCCCAGCTACTCGGGAGGCTGAGGCAGGAGAACTGCTTGAACCCGGGAGGAGGAGGTTGCAGTGAGTCAAGATAAAGTGGAAGCATTTATTATGTATTTATATGCCAGGAATTAATGTGAAGCACTTTACTATCTTATCCAGTCTTCAGGATAGATCTTCAGTTCTCATGACCACAAAAGAGGATACTAAGGTTCAGACAGAAGAGACGTGGCCGGGCAGTGTGTCCCCAGAGCCTATGATCTTGCCACTAGGTTACAGTGCTTCCAGGTAGCACATGTTATGAGGTTTTTGCTTTAAATAAACCAATAAAAAATGCAGGCAAAAAAGGGGTAAGTTATTAAAAAGTGAAAGAAACACCAAGAGAACCTTAACAAAATAACTAAAAATATTATGGAAAAGTTACTGAATTCATTGGCAAATTTACTCTAACTCTAGATTTTCATTGAGGAGTAGGTTGTATTACTCATGATGAAGAAAACATGTTCATTTTAAGTGTATTAACCTAAATATTGATATGGCTTATCATGTTTAATTGTTCACTTAAAGCAATCCAGTTAAAATTCTGCATATCATACAATTGTATACCTTGCTAGTCGATTGCAAAGTAAAGAGTTATCCAAATAAAAACAGCAAAACGTGATGCTTTTCACTGGTTGATGCTATTGTGAGGTGAGCATTTGATATATACAAACAGATGATAATAACAGGTTGCTTACTTCTTTCGTTGGTATATAAAGGTGGTTTCAGGATAGAATAGTATTAAGAACAAAGAAGAATTTGAAATTGAACGTCAACTCAGTGATGCATTAAGATAAAAGTAGAGACAACAGGGCCATCCTGGTGAATACTGATTTTAACACACAGATTCAGAGAAACTATTAGTTCAAAAAATCTTCAATTAAATCTCTAAGATCCAGGACTTTGCAATAAATATGTAAATAAATCCCCAAATATCCATGCTAAAAGTTTAAAAGAAATGCTAGCTGATAATTAAAGAAATATAGCTTTTCCTTAGCTTTGCAGTAATCTAGAAACAAAGAATGTTTCTAATATTTAGGCAGACACTGCAAAGCACCTTACAAGGAGAGACATGTAAGGATGACTCGATTCACTGGCCGCCCTGGGCTTGTCCACAGTACCCCCAAGATGAACAGTAAATCCACTGTGTAAATGCTCATGAACAAAGTACTACAGGACTTTTCCAGTTTAAACATACCATATTTTCTTTCAGACAGTTCTTCAGTTGTTTACACAGATAAGTGATGCAACCATTCCATTTCTCTGAAAATTGAGCAAAAGTTGATTCTCAAAAATAGGTCCCTATGTCAGAGCAGCACTAAAATATAATGACTTATATCCCGTGTTTTACATCCTAACAGTCCGCATCATTTTACTGTCTTCCAAATAATTTTTCCAAAGAACTTTCCCCTTTTTTGGTGGTTCTTACGATTAGTTTAATGGGAGACAAAAAGAGAAATTTTAAAGTTTAATTCCTCTTCTTAGCCTTTAGATTTCTGAAAAGCAGGAGGGCAGAAAAGATCCGTCAAATTAAATACGAAAAAAGGGAGACCACAATAAGGAGGTCTCCAGGGGTATTTTAGCAAACTTCCTAAAACATGTCTTAGCTGTGTGGAAATAAGACTTTACAGTGGCCGGGTGTGGTGATGCAGGCCTGTAATCCTAGCATTTTGGGAGGCTGAGTCGGGGAGATTGCTTTGAGCTCAGGGCAACATAGTGAAACCCCCATCTCTACCAAAAATACAAAACTTTGCCAGGCCTAGTGGAGTGAACCTGTAGTCTCAGCTACTTGGGAGACTAAGGAGCGCAGATGGCTTGAGCACAGGAGGCAGAGGGTGCAGTGGGCAGAGGTAGTGCCACTACATTCCAGCCTGGGCCAAACAGAGACCCTGCCTCAAAAAAAAAAAAAAAAAAAAAAAGCTGAAGGGCACCTGGGGCGGCTTCTCCTTCACTGACCTCGGGTCTGCACTGGGCAGCTGCACGGGCCTCCCAGGCCAGGAGGCCCCTGGGGCCCAGTCCCCATTGTACCACCGCATGACTGGTGGCCGTAGGATGCAGAGCTGCACCAGGAGCTGTGCTGCAAGATCCCCGCTGGCAGCTGAGGCTCACTGCCAGGCCCCACTGTTGGCTCGGGCCATGAGCAAAGAGGTGCAGCTCTGAAAAGAATGAGGGAGACAATGCCAATGCTGCCAGTGCCAACGACGAGGAAAAAGTGTGGCAGCTGCTGGAAAATGGCACGGATCCCTGAGCAGCTGACAAGGGCCACACAGCTCTACACTTTGCCTCTTGCAATGGTAATGACCAGATTGTGGCCTGCACCACCCATGACTCTGTCATCACCATACTGCTACGACGAGGGACCCGGTGGATGCCCTGGACCAAGCTGGACGTATGCCTCCACACCTGGCCAAGACGAAGCTGAACATCCTGCAGGAGGACCACTCCCAGTGCCTGGAGGCTGTGCGACTGTAGGTGAAGCAGATCATCCCAATGCTGAGGAAGAACCCGGTGCACCTACAGTGACGTGAACAGGGGGAGTGGCTGGACCACCTCTGCACCTACCTCTAGATGACCAGTACCAAAGAGCAGGTGGATGAAGTGCCTGACCTCCCAGCCAGCTCCACCTCCCTCAGTCTTTGGATACAGAGCATGGAGGAGGTAGCAAGAGATGCTCCCTGGCTTCCTGTCACTGCCCCCACTAGTCTCTGAGTACAAAGAAAAAGCCCAACATCTGGGACTTGGAAGCTGCATTTGTCAGGTGAGGACCTCACCGTCATCCCCAGGTGCTATGGGGTAGAGATGCTCTCTCCACAGCCTCAGGGCCACTCCTGGTGCCACAGTCTCCAGCATCTCTGTGGACCGGGACGATAGCCCCCAGCTTCTTCCTCTGGCTCCTGTGGCACTAGGCCAGGCTCTACAGCCTCACCTCAGCTCCGCAGACCTGCACTGTCCTAGCAGACCTCGCTCATCCCATGGCCTCCATGGTGCCCTCACCAGGCCCCAGACCCATCTGTATGTTCCTTCCCAGCCATGGGCTTGTTTCAGTCACCAGGTGTGGCCTAGGTGGGCATCCTCTGGCCGAGGGGGCTGCCACGGGGGATGTTGGCTGGCCCTGTGCCTCTCATCAGAACTTAGATATAGACATGTCACCAGACTTTCAAGGAAACACTGCAGTGGGTGTCTCTGGTTAGAGGAGAGGATTGATGAGGGTTAGACCTTAAAAATACAAGTTTAAGAGGGACCCTAGATCTTAAAAATGCAAAGTTAAGAAGGACCCCAAAGCAAAAAGTCCCAACTGCTTTTCTCCCAATCATTAAAACGCCAGAGGGTGTAATGGTTTTGCAGTCTACTTGTAGTATTTTGCAGCCTAGCAGTACTAGGCTTATAAGTGGCCCCTCAAGATGTCCATATTCTGATCCAGGAACCTGTGAATATTACGTTATATGGTAAAAGAAGCTTTGCAGATGTGATGAAGTTAAGGACTTTGCAGATGTGATGAAGTTAAGGACTTGCCACCTTAAGCTTGTTTAGGTGGCAAGTTGATGTCCTAACTCGGATCCTTGTAAGAGCAGAGCAGGTGATGGGAGAGTGGTGGGAAGTGTAGTGATGGAAGCAAGAAATTGGGAGTCATTCAAGGCGGGCACCAAAAGTCGAGGAGTGGAGGCTGCCTCCAGAGTCAGGAAATGGATTCTCCCACACAGTCTCTGAAGCCACTTGCCCTGCTCCCACCTTGACTCAGTGGGAGGGAATTTAGAATTCTGGCCTCCAGAGCTGTAAGAGAATACACATATGTTGTTTAAAGATACTAAATATGTGGCTCACACCTGTAATCCCAGCACTTTGGGAGGCCAAGACGGGCGGATCACTAGGTCAGGAGATTGAGACCATCCTGGGTAACGCAGTGAAACCCCGACTCTACTAAAAACACAAATCATTAGCCAGGTGTGGTGGCGGGTGCCTGGAGTCTCACCTACTCTGGAGGCTGAGGCAGGAGAATGGTGTGAACCCATGAGGTGGAGCTGGCAGTGAGCTGAGATCGCACCACTGCACTCCAGCCTGGGTGACAGAGCGAGACTCCATCTCAAAAATAAATAAATAAATAAAAAAATAAATAAATAAATAAATAAATTGTGGCAGCAGCAATAGGAAGCTAGTATTACTAGCCCTCGCATTAAGCCTAAACATTAAATATTTTTTTTTGTAACATGGCCTGGGCCTGATAGTGACTGCACAATGGTACTCAATGGCCTTAAAATGGAATCTTTGACTTTCAAATTCAACGAAATCTTGAAAATTTTATCCACTTCAATGGCAAAAGGTCTGAGGTTTCTTATATTCAATATTTCGTTTACCTACACTCCTGACCTTCCCTTTGTCAATCTTGCACCTCTTACCAGGCTCTCAACATACCTACTATCAGAAGGAAACGCAATAGCTGGTTCTGCAGCTAAACAACAGCCCTTAAGCCCCGACCCCTACTACCTGTTTCTCAGCTCCACAGCCCTCGTATTCACAAGAAGAAAGCCTCAATCTTTCTGTGGCTGGGGCCACAAACAAGGAGGGCTGGTTCTTTCTAGACAATAAGCTTCTCTTTCCTACGTCCCAGGAAAAATCCATACTCACTCACATTCACAGCCTCTTTCACACCAGCTATCATCCTCTCCTTCAGCTTTTATAACCTCACCTGCAGTCTCCTGCCATGGCCACCACCCTTAACTCACTCAGGCCCATATGATCTGCAACCAAGTTTCTTTCCAGGGAGCACTCAGACCACCCACTTAGCCCAGAAATCAAGCTAAAGGGCACCCTCTAATGTTCAGAGGCCACTACAAACCTGGAAAATTGATTTCATTCATA